AAAGAAAAAAGAAAGGTGGGGGGTGGGGGGGGGGGGGGGGGGGGAAGAACGACAGTGATGTTGGGTAGAAAAGAAAAGAAAATGGGGAAAAGAAGATTTGTCTTTTTTCTTTTAATTAATTTTAGTCTCAAATTTTTCTGTTTACGCTCTTTTAACGCGTGAGATCACACGTTTGTTCCACCTCGACTATTAAGTTGTCACATAGGATTGGTCAACGGTCAGAGGGGTTTAAAATATTGTGTTTCATTGAGTTTAAGTATTTAATTGGCAAAGTCATGAGTAGAAGGGTCTATTTGACAATTTGAGCTAAGTATAAGAGTCTCCTAGGTCATTCCGCCAAAATACGTTTTCCTATTAAAACAATTAAAATGTTTTAAAAGGAGTATTTGGTTAAGCAAAAGTGCTTATCACCAACAGAATGCAAAATAGACCAACTGAAAAAGATTGAAAAGGGGTTTTCGAAAACTGATATCAAGATAAAGCTAACCGATTTGTAGCTAAAATTTTGTGAAAAATTTGGGAACGCTAGAATATACAATTACTATTTGCCAAGGAATATAACATTCAAAGCACTTAGCTTCAGACTAACGAATTTCAAATTCAATCAGTAAAATGTAGCCACAAAGGAATATTTTTCATCATTTACAGTTCCCCATCTGCAATCTACTCTCTATTTATTCTACAGTTCCAAGTGTATCAGCATTAATTCTGTGATTCTGTCTGTGTTGCTCAATGGAGAGTGTGCGATTGACAAAGTTAATTTCTCCAAAGTGAGCATCATTATCTCTTGGCTATTTACCACAAGGCAGTGGAGGAGCCACCTTACAATGAGGGGTTCATCCGAACCCCCTTCAGCGGAAAATTATATGATTTATACATGGTTAAAATAATTTTTTAGGTATATATAGTAAATGTCGAACCCCCTTCGGCTACTTTATGTGTCTATTTTTTTAGATTTTGAACCCTTTTATTGAAAATCCTGGCTCCGCCACTGCGCACAAGGTATCCCATGAACAATGCAAACACAATGCATACCTATCACACAAGCAGTACTCATCATTAAATCAGTAATATTATTCATTTCATTAGACAGAAGTAATGATTTATAGGATGTGTGTGAGCACATTGTATGCATACAACTGCTTACCTTTAACATCCGATGCACTGTATGGCTGTCAATGTATTCTGAATTACTAGCATTAAAGGTGGAGAAAAATAGAAGAGAAGAATAGAACAGGCTGCCCATGTAGATTGCACTCCTTTCCCTCGTAAACGTGGATCCAAACCAGATAATTCCAATGCCAAGTGTTGGAGGTGCCAAAAGGCGGCAAACAAGCCTGTAGAGAAAGCAAGGAATGCTTTCTGAAGTTAGATATTTTTCAAATTATCAAAATATTCTTCAAAGAAGGAACACAGAACAACAAGAGATAATCAACTACACATACAGAAGGAGCAAAGTAACTGCTATTGAATTCATTAAGATGCAATATAATGTAGAAACTTAAAGAGCAAGCAAATGTCTGTGTCATATTAGAAATGACTTCAGGAAATCAGTGGAAACTTATTTAAGTGCACCCTTCATAATTTCGTCATGTTTCTTAGTTTCACTCATTTATGAGCACTCTTCAGAACTCCTTCACAAATACTGCTAGCTAAGAATGCACTTAATGGTGAGATAGAATTTTCTAACTGTAACATCCCCTAAACCCATGGAAGATATAAGTAATTACAAGTCATCAGTTTACAAATCCAAAAACAATAGCTCACAACCTAACAACAGACCAACATCCCAACACCCATATTGCTCAATATTTCTCATTCATATGCTAAGTATAATCCAATTCTGAACTGTGAAGACCTAGGTGATCAATCCTGCCATTCCAGGTTCTCCAAAACCTATGTGATCCTAGAAGCCACTTTTAGCTAACTGCATGCAAGAATGATACAAAATGTCAAATTCATCTACTCCAATGCCATTGTTCTCACAAGTCCTTATGAAAGAAGTTCCAGAGTAGGTAGTCATTCTAATTAAAGATGAAAAACAATACTAGTTTCTACAAGGATACCATTTTTTCCAGTAAGGATTTTGAGTAGATCTAATTATTAAGGATAAAGTAATCGCAAGTATATATACCAATCAGCATCAAGCCTTTCTCTGTACACAATTGAAGACTACAAAAATCAGGTTTTTGATAATATGATATGACAAGAAAGCAGTAAAAGCAACCATATAGAACGTCAACAACAGAAATATCTGCCATCTTTCTAGTCTTACTCTTGATCTATTTCAAAGAAATATTTGGTAAAAATGCCTACAGAAGCACCGATGGAAAAGGCAGCAATCATCAAGAGTAAGACCCTCGTCCTCTGCGTAGACAGAAGATTTACGATATAAGAAGCGACCTCAATAATAAATCAACAACTTGGAAGAAAATTTATAAGACACAGATCACATACCACTCTCAATGGTGATATAAAGTAAAGACAGAGTAAACTTGCTACAGAAGAAAGGATTGTGAACCGCCCTCCCGCTTCCCATATCCAGTGCGAGAAGGATCCAGAAGTAAAGCTCCACATGGCAAAGAAGAGAGTAAGATATACCTATATTTCAGCAAACTAATCAATTACAGGAAATAAGGGGAATCCAATACTTGGAAGCAGAAGTGAAAATGCATCTTCTCCAGCTAACTAGGTTTTGCAAAGAAAGAAAAGATCAAACACAAGATGCTGAAACCAGAAATTGCATAATACGTTCCATTCATAGAATCCTTGTGGTACTGTGAAAGCTGTTAATTTTTTAGATTCTTCTTCTAGCTTTAGATGGTAAAATCCTGATTTGCAATCAAATTTACTAAAATAGTTATATCCTTGTATTTGTCTTACTTTTAATACTTTGTTTGGTATAGGATAATTATATGTTTTTGTTTTTGCATTTAGATTTCTATAGTCAATTACCATACGACTTTTTCC